AGTTCAATGAATTCTCAACTCCCTTGTCTCCTATAGAGGAAGTTTCAGAGTATTCCTCTGAGCCATCTGAGGGAGAAACTTTGTCTGACAGTAAGATGCCAACTTCCTCAGTGGAAACAGAGGAACAGGCTTCACAGGAAGACAAGAGAGATTCATTGTCCTTGTTGATACACTGCCTGATTGCCCAGGCCATTAAAGCTTCAGGTTTCCACTTGTCTCTTCGGGATGGTTGTAACATTCATAAACATCTCTTAGAGAAAGTTGAACTGAAGTTCAGGGGGAAGAAATTGATGGTGACCCAGAAACAATCTCCGTTCACAGCCAGAAGATTTTTGTGGCTATTTGTAAAAAACTTAGGGGATCCGGTCAAGTTGTGGGAAATTTGCTTCTTTCAGAAAACGTGGACTTGGACAGAAAAGTCGATCTTGAAATATCTGAGAAGACCTGCAGAGAAACTGTCCATAGTTTCATGTTTTTTCAAAGGCCCGGGTGAAGTCATCTCAAAACCCTTTAAGTAAATGGACACGTGTGAAGTCCACCCCACCTGTGCAGAGTCCAGTCAGCCAACAGGAGACCACCCTGGATGGGCATCTGAAGCATCTATGGTTGAGGAACTCTTCAGTGGAGATCATGCAGGAGATGAAGCATCATAAGGTTTTGGTGCAAATGCAAAGTCTCCAGCAGAAATCCCTGAGGAGACGACTCCCACTGAGACTGAATCAGAAGAATGTGTTCCAGAGTCCGGCAGCAAACAGGAGAAAAACTTCTTCAGGGGGAGACTGAAGAAGTGAAGATGACAAAAATGGTTGTGAGAAACCCCTGTCAGTGATCTGATCAGGAGGATTGTTGAAAAATCAGGACTGAGCTAAAATGCAGAAAAATTTCATGCCAGTTTTGATCGGCTGATCGAGAAACTGTGGACTGAAATTGAAGGTGGAGTCCTGAGCATGAGCCCAGAGAAGATCACCAGCCAAGGACCTGCTGGAGAAGTGGAATAAGGCAGAGAATATTCTCATTTTCCTGGATTTAGGGCAGCCGATATTTGAGGAAATTATCCTGTCATATATCGGAAAGCATCTTCAGATTTGATGGGTTTAAATTAATTACAGTCTCTGCTGTCCTTTGGAAGTCAACCTCGGGACGGCCGGGTTGAGGTCTGGAGCCTCTGTACGAGTTTCCTCTGGGTGCTCCAGTTTACTCACAAGAAAAAATATGTCCAACGAACCTGCATTTTGGGTGCAGACCCATCATCTGGATATTGGTTTGGGTGTCTGTGTTCAACTAAGTTACCTACTTAGTGAATGATGAGTGTGTTGTTGGTTTTCTCTCCGGGTTTCTCCCAAAAACAGAAACATGTTCAATAGACCGAGCGTCCATGTTGGGTTCATTGGTGTTTCAACAACAATGAGTGAGTGAGTTTGTTATAGCATTTCTGTCTGTGTATTCGTTTGATTTTCTAGTGATTTTCTAGTAATCAATTCAATATCTATCCAGTTTAGAAAATTCTTCTTTTGAATTTTCAAATGTTTTCAATAGAGTGAAAGCTGCGTGTGGTGTTTCTTCTTTGTTTTCTCTGGACACTCCAGTTTACCCACAATATGTCCAATGAACCCCGCGTCCATTTTGGGTTCATTGGTGTTTCTAAAGCCACTGAGTGTGTGTGCATGTGTGTGCATATTTAATGAAGTTAAATTCCTGAAGAAGAATTAATGTTTTTCACTCCACTGCATCCTGTGTTTTAAACATCTTTTGAAATGCTAATGCTAGTATTAATTTATGAAGCAGGTGGGTGATTGTATTATTTTTATAATCTGATCTGTATTTAATTATTTGATGTGCACTTACTAATTTATTTCTTCAATGCTTTACTTTTGAGGACGGCAAAACAATTTTGTTTGTTGGTCATAAGGTTCAGTTTCGGTCCCATCTGACCAGAGATTCTTTCTTCTTGTGGAAAACTAAATGAGAGTTTATGTGGTTTTCTTCTCGCCACTCTTCCATTAAGGTCAGATTTATGAACTTTTTATCAAAGTTGAAGTGTCTCAGAGCTACCACAAGCCTCTTCTCTGATTAATGCTGTTCTCTTGCCCTTCCTGTTTAAGTTATCCGTCTCAAAGTCATCTTCTTCATTTTTAATAACGGGTTGAACAGAGCTCGGGATATTGTTTTATAACTTTATTCTTCTTTATATCTTCCACATTATTCCTGACCTGTCTGATGCTGTTTGTTCACCGATAACAATATGTAACCTCTTTACATTTATGTTGTGCTTTGTATTGACCTGTAACATTAATTAGCAATAAAATACAAAATAAAATCTCCAAAAAAAAGTGACAAAATGTGGAAAACGTTCTGTCCACGCTTTGCGTTTACATGTTTACCAAAAACTGGATTGTAGAAAATAAACGTAAGGGAAAAAACAAGTTCTCGTGCACCTGTTCGTGTCTCATCCAGGAGATCAGAGGAATGTGGCATGAAGATCGCTGGGAAACACAAACATAACTCTCATTAGTAAACCATCAGCCATAAACACCAGTGGAACTGAAAATATTCAACATTTCCTGACACAAATCAAAATCAAATCAAATCAAATGTTATTTGTATAGCACATTTTAGCAGCAAGGCATTTCAAAGTGCTTTACGTAGTTAAAAACAGAAACACAGAGTCATGTAACATTGAATAAACAGTAAGAAAGAGAAAGATTAAAAAAAAAAATCTGTTTACATTCTTTTCACTTGGTTCCCCCGCAGGATCCTCAGGGCAGTGGTCCAAATCAAGCCATCACTCACTGATTTAGTGAGCTAAGCTCGATCTAATTCATCTCAGCAACAACAAAAGCTAAATGTCAGCTCTGCAAGCCTCGACACAGAACTGCTTTTCTTCAGCGCTTTCCCTAATATTAACCCAACACCACTGTAATTATAGATAAACGGCTCACACTGTGTGAACGTGTTAAGTTCTGCATTTCGACGCCACGTCTTCATGTTTCAGGCACTCTGCAATAATCTCAGTAATTTATGCACCGTACAGTTTTGATGGTGTAAAACTTTTGAGTTTATTGGCTTAAGCCAATAGAACACAGTTTTTACCACAAGTAATCCCACCTAACACCTGTTAAAGTCTGTTTGCCATTGATGAGTCAACATGCAGGAAAGTAAGATTGACACTGATTACTTTCTACACCACAAAACTGTGTTCTTCTAAGCTTCACATTGTTTGTTTAATGAGCTTAAAAACAGGGAAACTGTTTTTTCTGTGATAACGATAATGTCAGTAATGGTTCAGCTGATTAAAACCCCAGGCTGTGAGAATGAGATCTGAGATTTAGGACAGGTTTTAATTTGAGAACATAAATTAGGGTGGGAAAGGGAAGATTTCAAATGTTTCATGTGACAAACTGTAAGAAAAAAACCCTCATTTTGGATTCCAGGGAATCGTCACTAGAAGACCGGGCCATTTTCAGGTTCTGACGTGTTTCTGTCTCAGGAACTCAAGGGAACAGGTGTATTGTCCCCCTGGTGTGCCGTCACATTCAGACTGCCGCTCTATAGACACACTGCCGACTCGTCTCTGTCAGACAGGACAGTGGTGGGGGCCTCTTTGGCTCTCGGGCGGCCTTCGCTTTGTTGCTTTATTGCTTCGCTTTGGGTTTTCAACTACAACAGGGAAAGGTGGGAAATGTGGCGATTAATGTCTTGATTGTTTCTCTTTATGGTAGTTTTTATATCTTTAATGTGCCTTTTATTATGTTTTTAATGTTTTTAAGCTTTTTTTGGGTGGTTATATATGCATGAGAACAACAGATTACCTCATAATTTCCTCTGGATTAATAAAGCACCACAGAATTCAACTTGTTTTAACTGAACTCAGCCCAACTTAACTTAACGCATTCCAACATAACCCATACTCAGATCAACCTAACTCAAACCAGCTCAACTCAACCCAGTCCAGTTTAACTCAGCCTAGCTCAACTCATCTCAAACCAATTTAACTTAACTGGATTAATCATTTGAAACATAAAAAAAACAAAGTCCAGTAGAGCTGTATTCATATATAAGCTAAAAAAAAAAAGCATGCAAAAAAAAAAAAAAAAAAAAAAAAAAGTCCCTTTACTCAAGTCTCTCACTATGGACCAGCCAGGTCTTGGTGACCCGGTTCTGGTTCTTGCTTAGCTGAGTGGTTGGTTCCTGGCATCTCAAACTTCCTCATGTGGAAACAGACTCAGGTGAGTCCAGTCAATCAGGAGGGGACTAAGGGCTATGTGATGGGTCATGTAATCCAGCTTATGGGCTAAAGCCGGGCACTCAAGACTTACAACTATAACTGTGTTTCGCTTCTGAAACACGACTAAGTCAAAAGGCTGAATTCCTTCATCAGGGCGTCATCCCGTCCTGCAGAGTTGTGGTAGTGAGTCATTCATGTAGTTCAGGTGTGTAGAGACAGGAATGCATCAAAAAGCTGCAGGACGGAGGCTCTACATTACACAATCTGACTTGTTGCTCTGTGATGTCAGATAACCTCACAGATGTGAGGTTAGGGAGGCCTGTCAACATGTATAATGTGCCACAGTAAGCAGAGTGATTAGTCATTTCAGGGTAACAGCCACATCATATTTAGCTACTGAACTGTGATCACATCCTGTTTGTTGTGGATACGACTGCTGTGCCCTGAGGAGTGAACGACCAAAACAAGACGAGACGGCAATAAAACCGCCCTCATCATGTCTCTAGCTCTGTACTTTGCGTTATTTCCACTTGATGTTGTTTTGGGGGAAATGAATTTCTAGTAGCAGCTCACACCTGAAGGCCGACTTTCCCTCCCTTCCTGCTCCAATCGCAGCTCCTTCCTTCTTTTAAGAGTTACCTGGAAAACCAACACAAGCCCGCACAGATGCCAGCTGAGTGGAGCAGAAGCCTCGGGCAAAAAACATTTTTTGCACAATCATGAGTCACATGTGGACAGGTTTTGCTCGGCAGGCGCGATGGCATGTGGAGGCTGTTCAGGTGGAGCCACATTAGCAGAGCCAAAGCAGAGAAGGCTCCTCATGCACTGTGATTTCCCACACCGCCACACTGGAATTATGGTTATTGTGGAGAAGTTGTGAAACAAGAATGGTGAGCTTTGACCTTGACCTACCTCCACACAGGTGAGTTCTGATAAACAGCCGAACAAGTTAAAAATAACGACCTGGATAGGAGGGGGGTTGAACTTGTCTCTAGAGGTTGGGAAGATTGAAAGTTGGCGTGACTTCGAACAAGGAAGTGTGGGGAGATGTTGAGATTGTTGATTTAATTTGACGTAGAAATGGAAACCTCATGTTCTCATCTGTAGAACGGCTGAAACATCCCAAGGCCAACTTCTAAACGTTTCTTCCTCAGGTTTTCAGGGATAAAACCCTGGACGAGTCGACTGTCTTTGTTGCCGTAGGTGACCTGATTTATGCAGCTGTACTTTAACCTGATAGGCTTCGTTCAAAACTGACTTATAAACCCAACAGTACCAACTAAACACTAACACATTCCCACAGTTCTTACTTTTATTGGAAGATGATGACTTTAATCTTGTCTACGCTTAAAATACCATAATGAGAGGTTTGTGAGTCGCTTCAGGTCTCAAAGGTACAAATTATTTCATAGCAGATAAATATACAGTTCAAAACTATAGACAAGGCTGAAAACTTTTACTTTTAATTGCAATCCAGCTTGAAAAATGTGTTCTTCCAGTGATGTAGAGCGCTTTAAACGAAAGTTTTCACACACCTTCAGCTTTTTCTAACCACTGGCTGCATTGCAATCACAACCTATTACATAAAAGTAATTTATGTAATAAACCAACCCACAAAATGTCAAATGGTGTAGCAGGACAACTATGACTGTCAAATCTTTTTAGAAATAAAAATCTGAAAAGTGTGGCGTGTTTCTGCTCTCTCCACAACTCTCATTTTAGGTTAAAAAAAAACTGAATTACAATGGATTTAGAGTTGCACTTTTGTCTTACATTGTTGTGGCTCTTAAGTACTTCCAAACTGACAATTTTGGCCCACATGCCAAAATGTTTACACACATGTGGTCAAGATCAAAACTTGTTCATCTGTTAAAGTGGCCCAGTCAAAGCCCAGACCGAAATCCAGCTGACAAGCTAACTTGAAAAACCTTTAATGACAGACACGTTTCTTCCAATCTGACTGAGCTATCCAACTCTGCTCAGGCGCCTAAAATCAAATACAGGCCACTTTTTTCCAATCATAAAATAAATCTTAAGCTATAAATCATTACTTGAGATGGTCCATTGTATAAAATAATTAAAAAAACAACAACACTGAAGTTTATTGTAAAAGTGAAATACTTTGGCACTAATAAAGTAAAAATATTATACATGCGTGTTTGTGTGTACTTATGCACATGTGGACAGAATGATGGTAGGCTGCTAAGCATGTCATCAGGATAGGCAGATATAAGCTTTTGCTATTCCTTCAAATTACGGGTTTGTTTATTGTTATTTTCCTGTTTCCCGTGTTTCCCGTGTTTAATGTTGACAGTTTACCAGAATGAACTAAACTGAACTAATGCGGTTACCCCCCACCCCCCTCCTCTCTGAACTAACATTGGTTTAAACTGTGTGCAGATATCATGAAGCCTTAAAGAAGGTGTGGAAGCTGAGCTCGCAGTGCTGGCCCAGTTCGGTCACAGAGGGAGTCCTCTCCTCCTCCAGAAGCTGGCTGCGGCGCTTCCTCATGCTCAAGCTGGTCACCGTGCTGCTCTTCCCCTACGGCGACGAGCTCCCCCTGCTGGTCGGCTGCGCGTTCAGCATGCGGGCTCTGCAGCTGCTCTGCTCCCCTCACATCTCCACCAAGCCGTCCTCCGTCTTCCTGCTCCAGCTGGCCCGGACGGACGCGCTAGTGCTGCTGCGCTGGCTCATCCGGCTGGGACTGACCGTGGGACTGTGGGCCGAGGAGGAGGCGGGAACGAGCCGGGCTCTGAGCGCGCTCAGCGAGCAGCTGCTCGAAGCCCATCACCTGGCCTCGCTGCTCCTGCTGGGGCTGCTGGGGCTGGAGGCCACGCTGCTGGCCCACTGGCCGCTGCAGACCCGGAGGTTCAGGACTTCCCAGTGGGCCCGGCTGTGCTGCCGTCTGACCTGGGGGCTGGTGCTGCTGGAGCTCGTGTGTTTGCTGCACGCGAGGCTCTCTGAGCAGCAGACGTACCTGTCGACGCTGCTCGTCGTCTCCCTGGGCCTGAGGAAGATGCTGTGGTTCGTGAATTCGTGGATGCATTACGCCGTTTACAGCTTCAAACCACAGAGAAGGACGAGCTCGTTTCATTAAGAGCTTCTAAAAACTCAAAGTGTTTCCACTTTGCTAAAACACCAAAACTTACAAAGTACTTTGTGGCCTGGGTTTTTTTTTTTATTTTTAGTACAAACACTTGAAATAAGAGCAAGCTAACTTAGAATTAAAATTAAGTTAGCCTAATTGGACTCCTGCAAACTCGCCTAAGATCGCCGCCCCCGTCTTATTGCGACACTTCCGGTTGTAAACCATAACATGGAGGGGCTTTATAGAAGCTGGATTTGATTTTTAAGAAAGTACTAATTCAGTAGGGAGATACATTTTCCCCATGTTATAAAATACTTGCACTAAAACTAGACCAGCAATGCTTGACTTTGTGTTTTTGCAGAGCGTTTTATTTATATTCTATAATAATGTTGATTTATAGTCAAATAGTGTTTTGAAGCCTATCCTGTTTTTTGTTGCTGTTGTTGTTTAGTGTCTCTTAAATTCATTCCTTAGTGTCAAATTTTAATCTAATGAAAAATATTTTAAGATTTTATTCGCACAAATAAATAGGCAGTAATGTCTATAAGTTTCTTATAATTGTAAATTTTTATTTATTTTATTTTTTTTAAGCTTAGCTTATTGTAAAGGTAATCTAAAGCTGTAACAAGCCATTTCCTGCTTACATTTTAAATTTCCTGTTTGTCCAGGATCTGGCTTGGAGAATCCAGCATTTGCTGAGGTGATGAACCCAGTGATTGTTTTGTGCTCTGACGCAGAAGATTATGAAATTATTTTTTGCCAAATTGCAGATTTTTAGCCCTCTGGCAAACTATTTTCCCAGGACTCTCCTTGGGATTTTTTACATTTATAACCAATTACTTGAATTTCCCTACTGGGGGACAATTAAGGGTATTTCTATTTTATTATTGTCTACTTGACTAAGAATGCATGACTTAATGAATGTAAAAGCATCTATAATTTATTCCTCATATTGTGTTTAAGTATTTTTAACTTGTCTTCTTCCAGTCAAAGGTCTTGATGAAATATAACATCTTGTCCATTTGGGAGGTTATTTAACTTTACGATGGGATAAAGGCTAAATATGCTCATGTATTTATTTCCTCTTTATCTGTTTAATGAACATGGCAGAAATTTTGCTGTCACAATTTGTAATTTAAGACGTGTGTGTGTTTTTTTTTTAACGATGCTGAGTGAATAAAAAGACCTTGTGAGATAAATTATGCACACAACAGCAGGTTTTTATAACAAAACCATCAATAAACCACTTAGAAAAACACTGTAAAAAAATATATTTTTACAGGAAAACTAGCAGCTGTTTTCCTGTAAAAATTACAGACGTTAAGTAATTAACTCTTCTAAAAAAAATTAGGGTAAAATCACAGCTGAATTACATTAATAATCTGTTATGATTCTAAAATCTAATGTTAATTTTGCATAGCAGTGTTCTACATAAAAAGATTTTTTAAAAAGTATGGCATAAAGCGACTAATAACAGTAATAAAAAGCGGTTTTTAATTTTACTGATCACGTGTCGCTCATGGACGTCAACCCGAGGAATGAACTTTGTTTTCTCAAAGTATCATGGAAAGATAATCTCTGTCTGCCTCCTGATGATTATCCAGTCTTTTCACTATTCATAGATTGAAGCAGGGATTCTCTGATCCCAGCTATCGCCTGAGGACGATACGGATTTAAGCTTTTTTTTTTATTATTAGTATCACTTTCCCTGACTTAATATGTTATTTTGCAAGCTGCACTCCAAATACAACAGCATTCTTTGAAGCCATTTTTAACGATCATGAAAACTAAACTTCAAAACGAACACAAAATGGAATGAAAGTCTTACATTGATAACCTTACATTGTGCCATAAATTGTGAAATAGAGACAGAATTGGCAGTCGCAGCTCCTTGCGTTGGACCCATTTTTCCTGATTTCCCCATCAGAAAGCAGCTGAAACGCCAGCCGATAAACTTTATGACACAACTCGACGTAGTGCAGATTAAATATAGTTTTATTTTACATAGCACTGGTTTTACAGAAGCATCGTACTGGGTGATTGGAACATGCCTACGGGTCGAGCCGTTTTTACTTCCTCGTCAACGGGACTGTCAAATTTTTCCAACCGAGATTTCCAGAGTTTAAATTTCAAAGGCCTTGGGTGAAGACCTGCCGCTTTTAATCGCAGGCTGTGGCCTCACTTGGTCACCAGGCTGGTTTCGTTAGATCGCAGCAGCCTTCCCACCTGTTACATGGACAAGGAAACAATATTAGCGGCTACAAAATAAACACGCCTTGGCTGTAGGACAACTTTCCAGCCACTCAAGCAATTCCCCCGGTACGGCCTTTACGCTAACGTTTTTTAATTTAATTTTGTTTTAACCTCCCATTCAGGCTCATCTACTTCCTTTTTTCCGTCCCTCGTAAATCCCCCTCTTTCCGTCTGTTTCCATGTCTTTAGACACAATCTAGAGCTCTCCACCTACCTCACCCTCGCGCCGATTACTCATACGAGCGAGGTTCAGTTTTACATTTCCCTATTGATATCTTTTTAAAGTAAAACAAAGTGTGATACAAAGAGTTTAAGTGATGCATCTTCTTTATGCACCTTAATGAATGTACTGTTTTTCAGCTGCCTGGTTTCTGTTTTGCTAGCACACACAGAGACTCCTCTGTGTGTCTGAGTCAAACAGGGGTCAAACCGATAACGCGCCACGCTGCAAACGCACGGATGACACAAATGCACACTGACGACTCAGATATCAGCTGTTTCAATCATGCTGCGCTACAGCTTGGCTGCTGATGACGAAACAAATCACAAAAAGAACCTGATGTAAGTATTTGCACCACTTTATTTCACATTTTATTACACAACCAACTTTATTACCCTAGCAACCAAAACTTGAAGTAGTGCACATTCGTTGAGTGGACTACTAACAAATGTGCACTTGTTAATAGTCACATTTGTCACTATTACCAAGTTACAAATGTGTTAATAAAAGAAATGTTACTATAAATATAAATAAATATATTTATAAATAAATACAAATATTTCAATTTTTTTATTAATAAAAATAATATAAATGTGTTTTATAAATTTATAAAAATATGTATTTTTATAAATCAATTTATAAAAAATAAACTGATTTTTTTTCCAATAAAATGAATCAATTTGTGACTATGAACAAGTTACAAATGTGTTAATAAAATAAATTTTAAAATATATATGTATAAATATATAAAATAATATAATTTTTATAAATAAAAAATATGTAAATTTTTTTATAAACAAAAAAAGTTATAAATTTGTGTTATGAGTTTATAAAATATATATTTTTTATAAATCAATTTATAAAAATAAACATTTATTTTTTATTTTATAAATACAAATAAATCAATGCACACCACTTTTCAGATCTTTGTATTTCCCTCCTCACGTCTGTAAAAAGACATGAGAAGGTAAATCTCTCACCTCCAGGTGCCCAAGTGTACAAGCAGAGGGACTGGCTGCAGTCTCACGGTTTAAGCTGCTGCAGTTTCACCGCTCTTTCCTGCTATTTGTGTTATGTCCAGCAGGTGGCAGCAGAGAACAGCTGAGCAACTTTTTAAATCATTACCAACAGACCCAGCAGCAAAGAGGTAACAAGTTTGAATCAAGTTCTGGTTAAGGTTTGGGGCCACCGTAGTTTAAGGGTAAGTGGGTTATAGAAATTAATTAAAAAATGAGTGGGAGTCAATGTAAAGTCTTTGTAAAGATAGACATGCATGTGTGTGTAGAACTAATCAATTATGGTTGAAAGTGGAGGAACGACATTCTTCTTTCCCATGATGCTCTCTGTTTGGCAGTTGGCAGCTTTACACAGCTTGTGTTTGAGAATCTGCCGTCGCTCACATGTGAACAACTGACAGATTTTGTTTGGTTTTCTGACGTATGATAGCTGATATATTTATTCAGTATTTACAATCAAAAACCATGGAATAAACATAGTCGTATTATAGATCACTATTGAAAAACTGAAAAGAAAAGTTGTCAAATGATCACGTCAACACGATTATTGCTGGATATCTTATTAATTATTATTATTATTATTATTATTATTATTATTATTATTATTATTAGGGGTTTTTGTTTTTGGTGAAATTTGAAGTGTAGTGATTGTTCATCCACTATAGTTCAAATTGAAATAGATGCTACATTGATGGGTCGACTATTAAATATGGGTTTAATTGTTATATGTCTGTATTATTCAAACAATAAATTAACGTTTCCGTAGGTGGATAAGGAATTGGGACGCTGGTGAGTTCATACTTTCACCACATGTGGCTGATGTTTGCATCAGATGCAGATGCAAACATCAGTCATTGTTTCCCTCCAGTTCAACAAAACCACAGTGAGATCACACAGATAAAGTGAGGATGTTGCTTTATGAGTAAGAACCACCAACCCATGCTTTCTTAGCACGCTATGTGTGTGAACTGAACCTTTGAAAAAGTCTAAACAGGTTTGTGTTGGAAAGAAAACACTTCTGAGTAACTGGACTGGAAGAAAACATTTCCATTCTTCAACCGGTTGCAAGGCGACATTTCCGTGTTTAAAAAGTGGCTGCAGAACAGGTAATATTTCTGTTGCATCCTCTTGGGTTCAGGACAAATCACTCCACTAAATCTGGGCCAAGAAAGTCTGTTCAGGTTCTTTGTGTTGGTCATGTAGCATGAGTTCAGTCCACACCACCATCAGTTAGGCCAGTCTCTTCTCTTCACAGCTCAGTCCTGCACCGAACATGTTAAAGTCAACTAAATCATATCAGGTCTCTTCAAATGTGTCGATAATCAGCAAAGTTCAAGATAAGTCAAGTCAGGCAGATTTGGGTTGACAGTCAATCAATCAAGTTTATTTGTGTTGCACATTTTGGTAACAATGTAGTTCATATAGTGAACTGTGAAACCAGTGACAGATATAATGAAATAACGAAGTTTATCACTTCAGATAATTAATCAAAATAGTAGAAAGATGCCAAGAAGGTAATTGGCAAATTACTATTTTTCCCGAACAGATACTACCCTGTACACTGTTTTATCGTATTTTGGAAAATGTAATTTGTTTTTCAAAAATATTCTGGGATAAATTAATTTTTAAAAACTTAAACCTTTCAGGTATACGAACATATTTTAGCTTAACTCTAAATATGTCTGTGATTGTGCAGCGAGGGCTCCTCCCTAGACCTGTTTATTGTCTTTCTCTCTCTGCAGGGAGATACTTGTCAGTAAATGTAAATGAAGCCCTCAGCTATTTTAGGTTGCATTCCATTAAAATGGCAAAGTACGTGATTCTGAAGAAAGACTTTATATTTAAACTCAGCAGTCAAACAAACTTCCTCCACCCGTTCAGGATCCACCAGGATCGCAGACTCGTATTGCCGCGGCAACAACGCCAGCTATCGGGCTATTTGGCTAAAAGAAAGGCCTTTCAGCCTTATATGGCGTGGGTGGAGACAGATGGCTTTTTCTCACAAATAAAGCAAAGAAGCACATTAAAACTTAGAACTTCATCCAAACATAAAGACACGACAAGGGAAACCGGCTGTTCAGATTGTTTCTAGACATTTTTGTTTTGTGAACAAAGAGAGGAATGTGGGGAGTAATCACCGTTACCCAGAGGGGCGATCAAACTGAACAGTCAGCAGGAAATACAGTACTACACAACACACTTCCACACATTCAGCCTAAACATAGGCGATGTGTCGCTTCATGCTTTTAAACGTCCAACGGGTGACAGGACTGGAGACTTTTGAGTCCCATTTAGATTCACTTAAAAGCAGAAGAAAAAAATCTTCTGATTTCTTCAAAGACTGCTAATGTTTTGCTGAATTTTGAAGATTTCAAACCCTAACTGGTCAGGGTTAGGGTTAGGTGTAAAAGAGATAACCGGAGAGAGGGGAGATTGCTTTGCAGGATTTACACAACAGGTATCACGGAGACGACCAGCTCCGTCTGCACAGGCTGGGGTCAGCCTGGTCAGTCCGTCTGTCTCGCCTCTCCGTCTGGAGGAACACGCTCTGACCTACAGCTGCTCAAGCAGAAAACCCTCTGGCGTAAAGCCTCCGATCGACCTCAGTCTGCAGCTTTACCGAGACGGACAGCGTTGATGGTTACCGGAGCTTATTTATTTGACAAAATCTGATCGTCACAGCTGAACTGCGGGGCTACAGCTGGCTACGGACCATAATACTACCCAGGACACAACTCTGTCCTCATGTTAATATCTGTCCATAAAGCCCCACAAAGCTCAGGACTCCTGTGCTGGTACAGCCTCGCTGCCTTTGTACGGCTCTGTTGTCAGGGCAGAGGTATGTATGGCACAACAGGGCTGCCCCCAAACCCTCCTGGAGCCAGTGAATGAGAGGATGGGCTGAGGCAAAGGGAGGGCAGCAAAGGAAATACACTCATCATCGCATTAAAGGAGAGATGGACAGAGAAGAGGAGAGGATGGAGGGAGGGCGGGTGGCGGAGGAGTGGGACTGCAGTAATAGGGTTTTTTTTGTTTTGGTTGGTGTGACTCACAAAGGCTTGACCTGGTTAGCACTGCTTAGTTACCGTTACCAAACACATTAGCAGCCAGGGGGCCAGCGTGAGGTCTGAGGGCATTTCTGTTCTTCAACCTAACCTGGTGTTAGTTATGATGAGGCTTCAAAACACCTGTAACTTTTGACCCTTTGCAACAAAGTCACTTAATCACGCGAGGCACCATGTCAGACGTCGGAAGTGAGGGATGGATCTGTTGAACAGAGCAACTGCGATTGTTTTTCCAATTTATTTCTGCCAACCTGGAAACATAGTAGTCACAGCTTCTATTTGTTCTAAGTTCTAAGTCCAACTAATTTGTCTGTGGAAGTAGCAAACCTATTTGGGGCTCATAGACAGCGGTATTTACAAAAGTTGGAAATAGCTTAGCATAGATACTGACCCATAACGGCATTTCCCCATATCCCCTCTGGCAGTCCTAAGAGATGGGGTCATTTGGACCCTCTGTGATGTCACATGTGCTGTTACAAGTTTTTTTGTGTGTGTGGTGTCAGGAACTGACGGTCTGATGGGACAACCCCCCTGCTTCCTGCCTGTCCAACCGTGACATTTGCTGTGCCCCTTCTGAGGATCATGCTAAGACCATGAGAGTATTGAAGACCTACAAAGTTTATACACTCACCAATTTTAATGTACATGCTACATTAGTTCCAGTGAAAAGTTTGAGAACCCCTGGGCTTATACGATAGTGGTGCATTTTCTCTACAGTTACTAAGAATCAGAGGCCTACCTTCTCTATCCTGCAATATTTGATGGTATGTTACTAAATGTACTTATTAATGAAATACACGAATGGTAATGTTATCACCGTCAAAAGATTGTTCGCTGCAAGTCCACGAACTGCTAGTAGTTACGATTGACAACTGCCTTCCGTTGTCGTCTTGCTTCTTCAGCAAAAGGTTTACGCTAAAATTCGGTTTGGGTTCTTGTCTGTTTGTGCAGCACTCTATGACCATATCTAGAGTGAAATTAACTAAATGAAAACAATGTTAGGCTACCAAAGGTCTGTTTTTAGCAAACTTTACAGGAGTTGTTTTGACGTTCGTCGTTCGGAGTGGGTTGCTTTCCGAAGAACGTTACGTCACGTACAAATGGCCAAAAGAAGAGGCAAAGGTGACCTCTACCAGTCATAAGAACATGAAATCATAGCGGGAAGAAAGTTTAGTATTGTGTGGCAGAGAAGATGCTCAGAAAACATCTCAACGAAACTTGATCGTCTTTGAGGACTCATATTGATTTGCTTTATGTGATTATTTTCAAAATGACTACAAATGCATGACTCAAATGGAGAAAAGAAGAAAACCTAATGACACCATTATGGGTTGTGGGAAATACTTACAGGAAGTGGAATGTTTTCTATTTTTTTGAAAAGGAATCTAATGGAGATGTCTTAAGTAGCTTGGCACTTCACTTTTGAGAGTAAATTATATGTTTGGGTTAGATGAGTTAGATGGCACTTTACTGAACTCTAATGTGGGAAACTGTATTTGGTCCAAGAAGAAAGATTTGGAAATTTACATTAAAATTTGAAATCCTTAGAAACATTTGGCATTTTAAGTTTGAGCATTTACCAAGTTCTTTGCTCAAAACTTTAAAGTCAAAGCATCTTAATCAGACGTTTTGGCTAAGACCACTAAAGGCACACTTAGGTACCTGTACAAATAACCGTAAAGGTTGAAGGTCATACAAGCATGTTTAAATTTTATTAATGTAACATGTGCACTATATAAAAAGTTTAAGTCTCCAGGACCAACTAATCTGGATTAATAGTGAATGAAGAGGCCTATCAATTAACATGATGAGTGATAAATTCTGAACCCTTTCTTTAAGGTTTCCGTTTTTAGCATCCAATGAGAAATAAAAATATTTGACATACATTTATATAGTCTAAGGAGTAGAAAGCACACAAACCGTTTTTATACTTTAGTTTCACGTAATCAGAAACTGAATCCCCTTGTAGAAGGCAAAATGTGATACTCTTCATCTCGGACATGTTTGAAGTCCGGAGATTTTTTTTTTTTTAGTACCGAGTCCGAGGAGAGAGGCTGTCAAATAAGAAATGTTTCACACCAGCTTTGCAGGCTTTCAGTCAAGCAGACGGGCCCCTGATCCAAACTGACCCCTCCATATTGGAAAACGCTTTAAACGGCTGCATAGACTAAACAAAGCCAGAATTTCTCTGCTCACTCCTAAAAAACCAAAGTGTTCTTAAAAAGTATTTCCTGCATCGTAGCCCATTAAAGACAAGAGCTGTCTGTCGGTCCAAGACTGAACGCTGCGTACACATTCGACCAGGAATTTAAAGAATGGACTTTGTTTTATGGTTTGCTTATAAATAGGGTTGTCTTCAGTTTCTCCAAAAGCAATCCCTTCAGTGAGGAGATAGGGACCTTTTGTCTGGAAACATTACTTGGGATATGTTACTCTGATTTATTATGTGCCTTCCTTCACATATTGGTCTGTTAAGAAATGTTCACATGTGACCAGTCTGAGGTTAACGTTTATTAAAAATAGGCAATTTAAAGGGGCAGTATTACATAAAATCATCTTTTTGTTTAGCTTTATATCATATTATAATGTTATTCCTTCATCAAAAACATACCTGGAGGGTTGCCTTGACTCTTTCATTCATGTTTGAGAAATCCTTTAATCTCCATGACAACCATTCAGCTGTGCAAAACGCCTGGTTGGACCTAGCTCCGCTTTTGAGGTGCAGCTACTCCTCAGAACTGCAGTTTCCAAGTTTCTGCCTCACAGAGCGGGCCTCCCCCACTCAGCTCCTTCAGATTAGCCAGCAGCAATCAGCAAACACCTGAGCTGAGCTTTTTATGCAAGCTACTTCTCAGTGCGACGCTGATAAAAACGTTGTTAAAGGGTTAACAGAGGTGCCATGTTGTGATGACTTCCTGTAGGCGGAGTTTCAGAAAGAGCAGAGGCTTCTTAAAGAGACAGAGGTCCAATTACACAGTAAAATTTCTTTTAAGTAATATTTGACATATACAGCACTTTTACAACAGCTAAAGGTAACATAGTTACTTGATTGTGCTTAAAAACATGGCCGAGAAAACACAATACTGCCCCTTTAAAACTCAGTCACTTTCCTAAAATTATTTTTAAAAAGGCTGATATTTAGGGAACAATGTAGTCTGTAAGTGCTCTGTTTTGATTGTTTCTTTAAGGATCCAGAAGGGAAGAATAAATAAAAAAGAATTATATAATTACCTCCATAGGATTGCCACGGCACAGCAGCCTCCATATATGTCATTTATCCCCATTTATAAACATTTATATCTTGAAAGCAACATAAGAACTTGTAAGAATGAGAAAATGCGACCTTAATAAAAGAAACATAACCCATCATGATGCAATGGAACACAGCTCCACACCATTCATCCCAATAAACACTAACTATTCAAAACACCATGCAGTGATGCAACAGGGAGTGATGTTTTACATTTAAGCCTTACATTCAAGCCCCACACAGCTCCTATCTTTCAGTGCACTGACATACCCGTCAGAAGAGGAAGCAGTGTAACGATAGTTTTAGGTGTAGCGCACATCAAGCACAGCAAAACCTAAACCTATGGAGGAATTATGTTAATCTGTTTTCATCACAGTGTGTGACTCATGCATTCACAAACACATGTTCCTGAACACCAGTAATTAAGGAGGCTTGAAGGCTTGTGCTGGTGTGTGTTGGGCCGTGTGTGTCCAGTAATGTGCGTCTGACTTCAGTAGTGAGCAGGATGTCCTGTCCTCCCTGCTGCTATTGTGAAGTGGTCAGCCTGCCAGACGGCCACAAAGACCACTTCCCCTCTGTCAAGAGCCTCTCTATTTGTATGTTGCTCACACACACACGCACACATGTTTGCGTGGCTATCTTTGTGGGGACTTTTCATTGACTTCCGTTCATTTCTACAGCCTAAACCTTACCCTTATCCTAACCCTAACCAAAACTCAATTCACACCTTAGTCCTAAATCTGACCCCTGACCCAAAAACAGCGCTTCCCCTTGTGGGACTGGGTTTCGGTTCCACAAGGAGCAGTAGGTCCCCACAACTTAGTGTTAGGAAAATGGTCCCCACAAGGTATTACAAGCAAACGTGAGCACACACACACACACACACACACACACACACACACACACACACACGGTCATAGCCCAATGCCATCCTGAAAACAATGGGAACCTGTCCAACACCGCCCTGCCACCTGGTTAAAAATAACTCTTTTGGTGGCCTCAGACATTATGACTGTGTTGTAACAATGGTGTGGCATCACTTTGATCAACCGAAAAAGCAAGATATTGTTATCCTGAGATATCACGCACCCAGCTAATAGTTTCTTTTGTTGTTGCGGTTCTGCGCAATGCTGGGAGACGTAAATTTATTTTAAGCCTTTATTCTGTTTTCTTTGTCTGTAACCTTTTGGTCTGTGGGGACGTTTTAAAGAGAGTCAGTTTCAGAGATTATGTCATAACCTAGACAAACACATCACGTCTCTAAATAAATCTAATGATATTTTCAGGCTGGTACAGCGCTAATGCAAATTATTCTAGTACAGCCTAAAGAACCTCTGTCCTGATGGACATATTAAAGATGTAAAAATGCATAATGTTACAGTAATTTTGCCAACTTACAAATTAGATGTGAGAGTGCCTTCCATACAAAAAAGTCTGTGGTAGCTCCTCTGAGCATACAATGTAAAAGTTTGGAATATGAAAGTAATTTTAATGCAGAGCAGCTGGATGCAAAGACAGTAACAGAAAATGTTTAATTTGATCAGTTCTAACCTGGAACTGTTTCACCGCACATATTGATAGCCTTTAGATACAACACTGCATTACTTTTTCAAGCGTAATGAATCTACAGATTAGATTACATTTTTTATAGTGTCTCCCAAGCCTTACCACAACAGAAACAACAAACTGTTTTGTTTTCAAATGAGAGCAACCAGCGTTGCATATTTCATAGATCTGCAAAATTTTAATCTGTAAAGTTAGAAAATACCAAGCGCCGTCTCTTCAAACTGTCTGTCAGATTTTAGCTCAGGAACTTATCCAAAACTTTTATTTTCCTTTCATGAATCTATTCTTTTGTTGACTTGGATGTATACCTTTATATCAAAAAGTAAAAACCCTCTAAACTCCCAGCATTCCTGAGGACACATTGAGGTTTTATGCCCAAACTGACTGGGTGTAAAACATATTCACAATTTAATTCATATTGACAAAAACTTAAGCTTCATCTAGAGAAAAACTGCCCACATAATGATGCTGCCACCACCATGCGTGGTGCGTTTTGGAATCATACCCCAAAAGCTCAAGTTTGGTTTCATCAGTGGATTGTACGTGAGAAATGCTGAATTATATGTTTAACACACATATATGTTACATATATGAGATGATCATTAATGGGAAGTTTAATGTTGATATTTTGAGAGCTAATGAAAGTGCAAGCACAGATAGACGATTAATCGGAGGCCCTCGTCCTTTTCTCTTTCTCCACTGTTAACGACTCCCCTCCTCCTCGAGGTGATATTGTCTCGCTTCCTGTGGCCGAGCGAGCCGTCTGTGTCCATGTACGCTCGCGCACAGGCTCTCGCGCGCGCAGCAGTTCGGGGCGGCGGGCTGTGATGCGGTCCGGACGGACGGAGCAAGTCGTCAGGATTAATGGAGGGACTCACACCCGCGGGATTTGTTACAAGCTTATAAGCTGCTCTTTTCACGCCGGGGAGCCAGCATTCAGCCTCGGAGCGGAGCGGGGAAACTTCGAGCGAGTTGTTTTGGGGAGTTTTGTTCCAGTGTGGAGAAAAAAATAATAAAAAAAAATAAACGGGGATCCGGACCTTTGACAGCTGCACCGCCGCCAGGCTGGAAACCCTCGGTGACCGGGAGGTGAGCTGTCACCGTCCGCTCAGCTGCCGGTGAGTGTCCACCACTTTGTCTGTAGACAGTGACATTTTTTCTCTACTCCTGGGGGAAAAAATGCTTCAAATTCATCTGCAACATAACACAGAAAGAAACTGGCCCCCACCTTGGTGAATGAAATATGGCTTAGCTACTTGCCAACATAGCGGTCTATAAACAGAAAACTCTTTTAGTTGGAAAGTTAACACAGAGCAAACAAACCAAAACAATATTCAGGATAAGACTTTGGATAAATCTTGTTTCAACAACAGCAAGAACATAATTGACGTTTTTGTTAAAGTTTTTCATGTAGGCCTACTTTTGGTCAAGGTATTATGTCCCCGTACGCCAAAGTTTTTAACTAATGCGCCAACATATACTCAAAAAAATTATACATAATTTACCAAATTGCAGAAAACCACAAATTACTGAAAGCTTATTTTCTTCACTTCACATACAATTATTTTTATTTTACCAGATTGCTGTGTATAAATGTATTAACAACCTCCTAAGTCACACTTGTTAATAGGGATGAGTTTGCATGATAAATATTTGTTAAAACTGTAATGACTTAAAAGTAGTGTTTGTTTTGCCAGCACATTGTGAAGAAGTTTTTCATTCTACTAAAATATAATTTAGTTTACCGAAATTAATGTAAATATTATGTCATTGAGGAATATACACTGTCAGCTTTATTTATAATTGTTTTGTAATTTAGCATGTACCTGCCATATTAAGTATACTGGACCACAGTTTCTATCCTCAAAGCACATGACTTTCTCCTTGTTCCATACTTCTCTTTCTACCGGAGAAGAAAAACCTCAATGGCTGCTTTCCCAACTCGCCCAACCTTTCCACTAAAGTTAGGCCTTACTAAATTTTGTTTCCCTTCAACATTTTTGTATTGTTGTTCTAAAACAATGAAATGTTGCAAGAGTTTATGTGAACTTTTACAATGTTCAATGTAGAAAAGATTACGAGGGTAAACTTTTAAGTTTCAACTAAATTTAGCAAAATTACAAATCTCCATATAACCAACAGATTGGTTGTAGAGCTGTAGGTAGAAGCTAATATTTAGAATGACCTGAAATAGTGAGTTCTATCTTAAAAAAAGGGCCAGATATCCAGAATATAATAGCCTGGTAAAAACCAGCCCCTTGTTCTACGCTTCGCTTCGTCTGGAGGGTCTGGACTCTCGGCTATTGAGAAACGATTGCTTCCTGGAGGCATGGACTCTGTTAAAGTTTGAAAATTTTCCTAATCGCTAACCTTTGCCCGTGACGTATGTGAAGCTCAAGTTTGACACTATGAAGCTAACCAGAAATTGCTAGCAGTAAACAACCGTCCTCTACTGCCAAGAGAGAAGTGCCGATCCGAACAAGATGGCTGTTCATGTTGATTCAATATTTGGAAGCCTGAACAACACGAACTGAACAGCATTATTCACTTCCTTCGCTGCCATTGCTAAAACAAATTCTAAAACCGCACAGAAAATCAACGTCGTTGTTCACAACTTATCCTACTTGCTCATTGGTCTACTCAGAAATCTACTGGAGAAATCCGAGCCAATGGGAGAAAGCCCAGTCTCAATTAAAGGAGATTATAATCGAGAGGGGTTGCATAGAAAGGCTAAGATTATAATCCCTTTCAAACCAAACAGGTGCCATTGATACGCACATCATTTCACATATTTGTTCGTGAATCCTTTTCATCTTCATTAAAACGTCACTATGAACCGTTAGGAAGCCCTCAGAGGTATTTCTCGGTGCGACACGAGCCTGAACAGAATCCTCTGTGACCCCAAGATGTCAAGACTTTTTTTAAGTTGTTTTCCCCCGGTCTTCACCTCCCCGTCCCCCTTTTCTGTCCTTTGCTCGTGAGAGAAAGGAACAGCTGGATGTGAGCTGGGCCCGAACTTAATCTCTCCGTATCAGCGGGTCCCAGAGGCCTGTTTCTGCCTCTGCTGTGTCCGGCCGTGGGGGTAAACCCTCGTAACTGTGCAGCTGTCCGCAACCCGCCGCATAAGGTGCACTCATTCACTCTCTCAGGACCGAAATCCCTCGGCAAGACCCTTTTCTTTTTTCTTTTTTTTTTTGTTTTGTAATCCACTACTCGCATAGCTTGGCTCCTGAGCTGAAGGTCCTTCTCACCTTCAGACAAACGGAGCCCGTCTAAAGAGTCGTGCAGAAAGTCACGGTTGGCTCGCCCGGGGGTCCGGCGGCTCAGTCCCCCCCCCGGCACACAGAGACCCGTTTAAGGACTGGCGCATGTGAGTGTTTGCCTGCTTGTGTGCTCACATGTTGAGGCTTTTGCATATGTAAATGTGTGTGTTTGCTGCAGATGGGTACAGTGAGGCCTTTGTGAGGGTCGACAGGAGACTTTTGGGGGCGGTGTGTGAAAATGCAGTCTAGATGTCAGGGTGCATCTGGCACAGGATGAGGTCTTCAGGCTAACGCGGCGCATTAAAGCAGATCAGGCTGAACCAGCTGGGTCTTTACAGGAGAGCCTGCTTACCTCTGTTTTATAACGCAATAAGTCCAGTTTAACTTGCTACAATGACCGGGGCTGCCACTAACGATTATATTATTGATTATTCTGATGATTAATTGGATAAAAAAAACCTTTTCATTTAACAACTTAAACCTTTTCTTATAATATGCAAAAGGTAAATAAACAAATACATTCCCGTTCTTAACTAAACATTTTATTGCTTAAAATGCAACAACATAGCATTCCTCTAGTGAATTTGAATGAGTGAAGCTAAAACTACGCCACTTGAAAAGTTTACATGTTACACAAAGATATTTTTTTTTATCTTAAATGCAAAATTATATTTTTTTTGTACAGATTAGGCTAATTACTGCCCTGAATCTGTTTGAGTCTGTATGCTAGACTTACAGAATCAAACATTGGAGAAGCAACGTTTAGTTTTATCAGAACAATAACCCAGAGGAACCCCTACCAGTTTATAAATTAGACTGCTTATTCTTAAACATGGGGAACCAATATGTAGTTCAATACTTTTGTGTTACCTTTGTTCTTCCTTTGCTCTTTACTTTGGTTTGTTGTTTTGTTGTATTTCCTTCTAATTCATGTAAAGCACTTTGATTTACGTTGTTGCTGAAAATGTGCTATATACAAGATATATATAAGATTACCTTATCTTACCTTACCTATACTCCAGGCCATAAAAGGAAATCTTGTAGTAGTAGTTTAGTAGTTTAGACTTGTATCTACTTGAGGTTGGTTGGCCTTTGTGGGAAAAAAAAAATCTATGTACATTACATTTTTGTCCATACTCGGGGTAAAGTTCTGCATCGGTCCAGAGTTTGAGTAAAAATATACCAAATAGCAGATGTTGTTGTCATCTGATTTCATCCACCTGTTCCCAGCCTCAGCAGATATTAAACAGCTGTTTCCACATGATGTGTGACTAACAAACCCAAACCTTGTGTGTCAAACATTTTATTTTAAGACTCAGACAGAGAGAAATCAGCTCCACAGCATACGATAGATATTATAAAGTTTACCACTTGGGTGGGATGCATTACTTTAGCTGTTGATGCCAAGTGGACATCCAGATTTTCCATCATCAAATATGAGAGTTACTTTGATATGTTTGGAGCTCTACAGTCTCAAAACAGTCCTACAGTCCACCACTTCCCCTGAATTACAAATTCAAATATTTCAGTAAGTAAACAAACAAAATAACTGGATTTTGCACAGCCGTTCCCTCCAAACGGACCTGGAATCTGCTCACAGACTCTTCTGTGCACCTGAATGCTGATTTTTAAACGCGTGGAAGCGGAGGAAGGTCAAAGACAGCTTCCTCTTGGCCACATCAATTTATGTAACCCACAGAACAGTCAAGCCACAGCCACAAACACTCAGCTGAAAAGACAAAGGCTGTGATTCCACAAGTCTGTGAATCACAGCAGATCCTTTTCCATCCTGGTTTTCATGCTGCGGTCTGTGAGCCCTTGATGTTTATGTCCTGCGAACATAAACATAACTGCAGCAAAAAATGCTATCAGGTGTTTTTGGTCTAGTGCAAATATCTTAATACACTTGAAATAAGACGAAACTAACAAATAACTTTTCAGCCTCTTCTAAGTGAATAATACTGATTTAAAAGTACTATTTCCACCGGGGTATTTTTTTAATTATACAAAGACATTTTTTCCATAAGTGAAATAATGTGCCAGTGGAACTAATACTTTTTTAAGTCAAAGAACTATTGACTTAAAACAATCTCCTGTATCTTGCTGAAAAGTTAGTTTTGTTTTAATTTCAAGTGTACTAAGATATTTGCACTAGAAACTAGGCTAAAAATACTTGGTGTTTTTTTTATATATTTTTTTATTAACTCGTAATTTGAATCAGGAATGTTTGCATGGTGGGAGCCAGAAATTAAAAACATACTGTTGTCGAATTATTGATGCTAAAAATCCGCATGGATTTACTGAATTAAACATTTAAAACACAAGGTTAAGTAAATGTTAAAGGGTACTCTGCAGTGCTGATGATCGGCGTTCTGAAGCCCTGCATTGTTCTTTTTTCTAATATTTAGTTTGTTCCCTGTTTTTCATCTCTGTGCACATTCATGGTTTGCTTTCTGGGGAACGGCTTTTATAGTCTGGAAGTTCCTGAGTGCCGTTTCCTTTTCTCTCCGCAGGAGGACCAGCGGTCCGAGCAGCCGTGCATCCTGACTGAGTCCGGCTCTGGGGGTCCATGATGACTTGGAGTTGGCTTCAGCAGACGGTCCCCTGCTGACACCCGGATTTCCGCCCCTTTCCTGAAGATCTATTTCTATCTTTTTCAGTTTTTTTTTACACTGAAGACTTTGTCTCTTCTGTCATCATGGCCAGCCTTGTGATTAACGAAACTGGAGTGGAGGATTGTGGGATTGACGACTCCTTCAAGTACAACTTGTACTCCACGGTTTACAGCGTGGTCTTCGTTTCGGGCCTGATGACCAACTGCGCCGCCCTCTTCGTCTTCTGCTTCCGGATGAAGATACGCAACGAGACCACAATGTTCATGACCAACTTAGCGTTTTCAGACTTGGTCTTCGTCTTCACTCTGCCGTTCAAGGTCTTCTACAATGTCAACCGCAACTGGCCCTTCGGAGACGGGCTCTGCAAGGTGTCAGGGACGGCCTTCATCACCAACATCTATGGCAGCATGCTCTTCCTCACCTGCATCAGCGTGGACCGCTTCCTGGCGATAGTCTACCCGTTTCGATCGCGCTCCATCCGCACGAGGAGGAACGCGGCGCTGGTGTGCGCCGCCGTGTGGCTCACCATCGTGGGCGGAGGAATATCAGTGACCTTCTTCTCCACCATCAACAGCAGACACAGAGCCACCACATGCTTTGAAGGATTTTCCAAGAACACCTGGAAGACCTACCTCTCCAAAATCACCATCTTCATAGAGGTGAGCTGAGCTACCTTCAGCCAGATGTACATGAACACGTTCGCTACCGGAACGGCGTTCAGTAAGGAGGTTCTGCTTTAAATACTTTCACGCATTTGTCAAGTTGCAGCCCGAAGCTTTGTATTTTATTGGGATTCAAGACGATAGACCAAAGCAAAATGGTGCACTACTTTGAGCTGAAGGAAAGTGATACACATTCACTTTAAAGATTTTTAATAAATAAACATGTAAAACCTGTGTTGACAACTTCAGCCTCTAGATGTACAAAGTTGATGGAGAGATTCCCCCCCAACACTTTCAGCTGCATTAAAATGTAGTTCAGTAAAGTATTGCCTCAGGGGAGCTGTGTTTGAGTATATGCAACACTTTTCACATTTTATTTGTAAGTTATTGGATCAAAACCAGGCATCATTATGATTCCACTTCAAAATTACAAACTACTTCAACCTTTACAATCCAAAGAGCCATTTAGGCCCTCAGTCCAGCCAAATAAAGTTTGTTTAGATCCGCAAATGTTAAATGACCTTTTGAAAAAAGTACTATTGATCATTTTTGAGGAATACAGTACCTACAATAGGTGATGTGTTGTCATTTTCAAAGAACCACAGATTTATTGCTATTTTTAGGTGTTAAGGTAAAGGTTTAAAGGGTGAAATTTTTTGCAAAAAGAGGATGGCTACATTTTCTGCTATGGGATGTTAATATTTGTGGAAAATTGAATAAAAAAAGCATCTAGTTTTCAATATAATGACAAGAAAAATGAGTAAATAAATATTATTTGTAATTTTAGTGTAATTCAGTTGTGGAAACTTGCTTTAGTGATCTTATCTACTTAAAAACTCTAGTCAAAGCTTTTGGAAGCCATTGTGGGAGCTCCGATGAGCCACTCGTGGCTTTGGGGCCGCAGGTTGAAGACCCCTGATTTAACATGACAGCATGTGGAAAACATGTAAGAGTATCAACAGCAGCAATATATGTCACAATAGACACATTACCAAAATCAATAGATAATATGTCTGATAAAATATTGAATAATTTCACTGAACTCCAATCCAGAACCGCACAGGATTCTGGGGGATGTAGGCAGAGGAAAGAGCTAGGTTGGTGGCATAAACTAACTCACTCACTTTTTGGTGAGTTAGTTGCTCACTAACTTACCTAGTAGGTTGCTAGGTAACCAACCTACAAAATAACAGTGTAGCTTGAAAACTGTGGATAAAAGAGGAAAGGAAAGGTCATTTCGGATGTTTAAAACAAAAAAATGAATCAATAATTATTGATATCGACTGATAGAAAAACCGTGTACTGTCCTAAAATAATGAAAATAAAAAAAATAGAAAAATGAAATAATAATGAAGTAATTTTTTGCTGAAAGTAATTTTGGCAACAAAAAAAATCACGACCTCTTTCTTGCCTAAAGATGATTTAGGCAAAAAGAAAAAAAAAAAATCAATTTGGCAAAAAATGGTTCAGGCCATTATTTCACCAAGGTGATGATATTGTGATATGTTTGTTTTTCATATGGTCCAGCTGTATGAGTCATTTTGAAAAGCACTGCTCGTCCTTTAACTCTCCTTTACTTCCTCAGATTGTGGGTTTTCTCTTCCCCCTCCTGGCCAACCTGGTGTGCTCCTCCCTGGTTCTCCGGACGCTGCGCCGCCCGGTCAGCGCCGGCCACGGCTGCGACAGCAAGAAGCGAGTCCTGCGGATGATCGTGGTCCACCTCACCATTTTCATCATTTGCTTCGTCCCGTACAACTTCCTGCTCTTCCTGTACGCCCTGGTGCGGACCCAGGCCCTGGCGAACTGCGCCGTGGAGCGGTTCGCGCGGACCCTGTACCCCATCACCCTGTGTCTGGCCAGCCTCAACTGCTGCCTGGACCCCGTGGTTTACTACTTCACCTCAGAGAGCTTCAAGAAGAGCCTGACCATTGGTGGCAAGGGGTCCGGCTCGCGGCCCGAGAGCATCCCGCGCAGCGACAACGAGGCCCAGGACACGGCCGTCCCCAGAGACACTAAGTCAGTGTCCAGCAACGGGAAAGTTGCCACGATATCCGACAGCCAGCTATGACTCGGCGCCGTCAGGGGTGAAAACGGGTCGTGGCGGGTTCTGGAGGAACCCTGAACTTGGACAACAATCACTTGTTTAATTGTGGAAGTGGAAAACAAATAGCTCAGCAGATTAGCTCAGACCAGAGGTAAGTCCTGAGGTATGGCCTGGGCTTTGTGGATTAATCCAGCACTGGAGAACAGAGGAATGTATCTGTGTTTGTTATAACACACACACACACACACACACACACACACACACACACACACACACACACACACACACACACACACACACACCCGGGGCAGAGGGGTGGCAGATCCATGTTGGGGCCGCCGTGACAGAGACAAGGAGCCTCTCAAAGAGACTCACGGACACTCACACTGACACTGAGCTGTCCATAAGATGGAGATTCTCATTCACTCTGTTGATATGGGCTGTTTAGCGCTTTTGTAACAAAATCTTTATTTTTAGAAAGTTTGAGCTCCAGCAGTGCGTTATATCATCAATGTAGTGACACTGATCAGTACGGCGGGAGGTTAGGGCCGCGCTCAGAAACCAAAAACAAATTTAAAGTAATAAAATTACGAGAATACAAGATCAAACTCATAGTATTAACAAGATAAAATCATAACTTAGGAGAAGAAAGTTGTATGAGAATAATGCTGAAATAATACTAGAATAAATAACTGAGAAGAAAATTGTCATATTTTTGAGAATAAAGACATAATGTTGACTATATTATCAAATCATGACTATTTTCAATAAAGGAGGGCAGTATTATTGTTTAGAATAAAATCAAGATTTTGTTACTTTATTCTTGTGTCTTTATTCTCAAAATATTTCAACTGTATTCTCGTATTATTTTGACTTTATCCTCGTGATGTCGTGACTTTATTTTCGTCATTTTATTAAATTTTTTTCTTAGCATGGCTCTGTCGCTCCGTCGTAGTTCAGTGTGGTCAGATCTGGTGTTATTATATAAAGCAGTATTATGTTGACCTGCTGAATTAAATGTGTGTCATGTTGAAGTTTCGTTTAATTTAGTGTCTTTTTGATTTCTTTTTTTTTTTCATTTTGCTTTTATTTATTGTTCCTTTTCCAGCTCCGTACCGGTTAGTCAAGCCTCCTCTGAACTCGACTGTAAGGTTTCACTCCCGGAGGAGTTTTTTCCACTCTGGCTCACCAAGTGGCCCTGACTCGTTTGAGGACTTGGGCCTGTGTGCCGTGTCGCAGGCCAAGCGCTTATTATGACTTGAGCAATGGTCCATTGTTTGCCTCTGAATGAGGGCTCTCTGCCCTAATCTGGCATTAGACTGCAGATCTGCTCAAAGTCTCTTACACACAACAAATATGCTCACATTCCTCAGTACGGATGAACACTCCTGCCTGTTTACCTCACAAACCGTAGCACTAAACAGTGCTGAATCAGCAGATTCAGAGAAAGAAAATGTGAATTCATTCATTTGTAGTTTTCTACAAATGAATCGTGCAACCTTTTATTCTGGATTGCCACCGGGCCGTAGAACCTGATCACAGAGGAAATATAAACAGTTTTATTTACATAGCCAACAAACCTCTTTGGATCTCAGATTTCTAATCATTTTATAAGTTGACCAGGAAGATCAGCGAACACAACAGACCAGATCAGGGATAAATGGACTCAATTTACTCAGGCGCTCAATAAAAAGTGGTAATAAAAAACAACATTTGTTGAGAGGAAAACCATAAACACTCTCATTAGCAGTTTGTAATAAGCCATATAGACCGAGAAACCATGTGGAAGGAAGCTCTCTGGTCAATGAAGCTTATCGCAAAAACTTCTTATGAAAAAAACTCTTGTTGTTTTTCAATCTCTGTGTTTACATTAAGCCTCCTGTGCTTATTGTTTGTAGAAAACTGTGCAGCTTTTCAAGCATCTAGCAGTCGCACTGATGGCCATCCGTAACCGTGATCTGCCTGTTTAGTCTTTTCAGCAATCCAGAGGCAGAAATTCACACCCTCCACTGTTAATCCTTCAGACACGAATATCTCCTGCAACGGTATGTCGACTGAGTGAGCTAAAAACGATCCATTACCGCTAACAGCAATCTCTGGGCGTGTGCATGCGATGTGACCATTTTATTTTCAACCGCAGAGGCTCATAACAGCGAGCGCTTTGTGGAGCCCGGGGTCAGGGGTGGCATTGAGAGGGGCGACAGACAGGAGGGCAGGAAGAAAGAGGAGTGGGAGCTTTGAAGCCTGCAAGGAAACCTCCTACGAGGCTGATTGTGGAAGCAATCAGCTGCTGGGCCTCCAAGTGTAAAGCAGCAGGATTGAATGTGAACGAAACGGAGCAGCAACTTCACGTTGGGCTAGTGTGACATCTAGTGGCTAAAAGGCAGAATGCAGAGGGCACACTGACTCTTACCTTTAAGAGTATCGGATGTTTGTCTTTCTGAGTTTTTATGGTTCTCGACTTGCACTTGATGACATAAACAATAAGTATCCCGGGTGTTGTACGTTTAAAAAAGCCCCACATGTTCCTGCCACAACCTTTCAGTTTCCCTCTTTGTTTACCTCTGTGTCACCTTACAGCTGGAAAAATAGCAGAATGCTTAAACAGTTTGATTTGTTTTCTGGTTTTTGCTAAACTGTTTTAAAAAAAAGAAGGGGAAGTGGCACTGAAGCAGGGGAAGCTGATTAGCATTTCTGTAACGACTCAATCATCCAAAGTAAACATTTACTCTGCTGTATGCACACATGACACAGGGAGTGAGGCTGCTTTGACACCTGTTGAAGAGAGCTTGAAGACTACAGGAGGAAGAAAATAAAAACGTTCAGCCTGGGCAGCGAGCAGCCTGCCTTTGCTCATTCTTAACCGCACGTGCAATTGATTCTGTGTCAGCCTTTGCTATTTGGTCGGTTGCTAGGCAGTCGGTGACGTACCAAACGGCAGAAAAGCACCACGCCAGACCTTGAAGGGTAAAGCTTCCCCTTCCCCTCATGATCTCTCGCCTCCGAAACCAAGAGTCAGCCCTGCGCCTTCTCGCAGCAGATGCCACCTCTTCCTGCAGCTACGCAGGCAAACCACATCAGTATGCTGGATTTGCTGACTTCACCAGCCAACGGACAAGTCTCTTTGTTTTGTGCAAAAAAAAGTGCACAAGAAAGAGGAAGGAGAGGAAGGGTGTGTGCGCGTGTGTGTGTTTGCTCCTGTGCAGCCGGAGGAGGAGTGTGTTGCTGAAGCAGTTGGAGCATGCGGTTGCCAGCACATGTCTCTGGTTCTGGACTCTTCCTTCAGCGTCCGATGATGAGTTCAGAAGAAGATGCGGCGACACAAGGTAATAACCGACCGTCTTTTCGAACATAGCGTCTGAGAGGAAGTTTGGCTGCTTGTCCTTGTGGTTTGTCACGCTTTGCATTTTTTGATGAGTAGGATTTGTTTGGAATATCTTTGTTATTCTCAGACACGCAAGACGTAAACGACGTCTTGACTGCTGTGTCCTACTGTCTTTGTTTTTATTTGTAATTCTGATCTAAGAAGTTCAAAGATGAAGAAACCAGTTCAGAGATGTTTGCGGACTGAAAGAAAAACCAATAGATGTTGGATAACGAGAGCAACCAAAGACCAAGTCCAGGTTTCCAGCAAAAACGGCCAAAAAGAAAGCAACAAATAACTGTCACAGTTTTTCTCTTCCTCTTGTGGGACCGTTGTAGGAAGGGTGTTGACCAAGTCTTAATGACAGAGGGAAGGCTGATGCTTCTCTGATAAAAAAAAAAAAAACAAGCTTCTAGCATTAGATTTCCTGTTGCAGTCCTTATCGAAGTTTAATCTGCTACCTTCAACGTCAACACTGTTGAGCATGCAAAACAATTAACGATCCTGACAATTTTTAGGCTTTGATTTCACAAGGCTCTTTTGTTTCACACTTTATGCGATATTTATGAGCTGCTTTATAAAAAGGGAATTCAAATGTGCAGAAAGTGCTTACTTAATACTATACCACCCTGTTGTGAAATCTCACGAAGTTCTCTCTGACAGAGAGGAATGCTTCCAGTTGCATGATGACCAGTTTTTTTTTTTTTTTTTTTTTTTTTTTTTATCTAACTCTTCGGTTTATCAGGAAAACCCCTCCTATAAACTATAAGAGCTGCACCTTGGCTGGGATCCGTATCTCCAGAGCCACAGCAGGAGAAAATGAGGCGTTGATAGCGTGACCAGGTTTAGAGAAGCAACATTCAGAGGAACAAAGAAACTTTTAAAAACTAAAATCAAAATCATTGGAAGGTTGTGTGAACCTGGAAAACCTGAAGGTTTGATAAAAACAACAGCAAAACTTCAAAACTACGGGGACTTTACCTGGAGCCATGTGCTTCTGATCGACTGACATTTTCTGCAACATTGTATCACACATTAAATCAACATCCCAATACTGATGTTCAATATTAACACATTAAAATGATGATAATCTTAAAAGCAGTAATTGGATTCTGGATGGAGTCTTGCTGAAACAGACTTGATGGATAACAGAGCCAGAAAGAGACGGCAGCAAAGATGATAAACAGATTGGAGGAAAATGGAAATTTAGCACAATTAAGAATATTTATTGTCGGCCATTTTTAATGCTTCCATACACAAAAAAAGTAAAATAAAATAAAAAACAACACAATGCTGAGAACAAAAACAGCAGCAACAAAGACCGAACCAATACAGAAATAGATAAACAATATTTCAATTTGCTTCACAAAAAAGTAGCACAAACTTATTCGCTTTTTTATTCACACAGCGTCATCAGAATCAAAACAGCAGAATATTTTCTGTGTTTATTTATCTTGAGTTAATTCCAGCTGAGTCTGTGGGCAAACCTGTAAAACATAATACCTAACCATAATACCTTATTGTATTCGTTTAGTAAATTTATTTACTAAACTTATTTACTAAATTTATTAGTAAACTTATTTTTATCCATTTTTTTATTTAATGAGTGAAAAACAGTTTTAACTCCTCACAACAATTATGTCATGATGTGTGGATGAGGTGGTGAGGAGAGACGCAGAGACCCAGGTTGTGATGATGATGATGATGATGATTTAATGATAAATATCCACAGAACAGAACAACAGGGATCACAACGAACACAACGGCACAGAGAAACTGGCTAGTACACACAACACGGATGGGACTAAATACACTGGGAGGGTAATCAAAGAAACGAGACACAGCTGGGATCAATCAACAGGGAAGACAGAGACTCACCTGGGAACAGACTAATAAACACAGAAAAAGCTCAAAATAAATACATAGAAAACAGATCACAACTAATTATTCCACATCTGAACCTCTATAACTTAAATAGTTGTTTTTAACCTTTAGTTAAAAAAAAAATCTTCTCCATTAATTCATAGTTTGTTTTTTAAACCTTTCATGTCCTAAGTTTCAAATCTCCATCTGAATATTTTTGCTTATTTTAATTGTACGCAGCTCTTTAAATGTCCCGAGTAAATATATATTTGCCCATTTATCCTTAACAACTGGAACTTTCAATATTATAGTTATTATTACAATTAAAAGAGCGGCCCTCAGATTAATTTCACTCCCTGCTACAGTGGGGGTTAAATTCTGTAATAACCAGATATTGGCTGGAAAGCGCAACGTCTCCCGTTTCAGAAACTCTTGGAATTTATCAGTTTCGCAAAAGTTTTATCAGTATTTATCAGAATTTATCAGTAGCGCAAAAGTGTGGAGGAATTACGGTACTGTGAATTTGGCCGGATCGTCGGCGCTCCGTTTAATTTCAAACCACTTCACACCTTGGAAGGAGTTTGTTATAGACTTTGTCCATGATGTTGTCACTGCAACATTTTCTCCAACCTGTATTTAAGCAAAATAAATAAAACTCATACAGTTAAAACAGTCAGTCACAAAAACACAGTGCAATGCCAGTACAATTTTCCAGTAATGTCCCCAGTAATTTTTGTGGAGTCAGTGCAAGGCATCTCTTTCAAATACCAGGACATTTTAAGAAAAAGTCTGCTGGACTTTACCTGTAAACTGAGAACAACAATCACCCAAATCAGCAGACACAAAATTAACCTTCTCGCCTCCTCAGTCGTCAGAGCCGAGTGCTATGAAAAGAAAACCTAAAACTGCGGTGAGCTGAAGAGGCAGAGCAGAAACTGAGCAAAGAGAAAATGTCTCCCTCTACCTCTCTGTTTGTGTTTCATCCTGTAAAATCGTACAGGAAAAACTACTGTCTTAATCGCTAAGCAGGTTTTTTTTTTTTTTTTTTTTTTTTTTTAAAAGGTTTGAAGAAAAAGTTAAAAACTTTTATTTTTTTTTTTCCTTTAAAAAAAATAATTTTT